AGAAGTTTTGCTTGTGCCATAGGCTGATTCTCAATGGGCATCTGTACACGTTCATTAATGTGCCATAATTACAACACATTAAGTTTAGTACCTGTAATAACTGGTACTAAATGCACCATAAATGGAATTACTGAGCATTAGTGCAGATGAATGCTTTTTTTTTTTTTTGTGATGCTTGATGTGCATTAGCTCATTAACACTTTTTTTTGTGTGACGTGCTGATGCCCAGTAGAATTAGTCTAATGCGCATTTAGCATATCGTGTAGATGCACTCAATGAATATTAATTCCAGGCTGGCTGTTCTACTTCTGCAGAGGTGAAGGGTTTGTTTCGATGGCCTGTTAATGGGATCTGAGCATTTCCAGGGAGTTTTGACTGACGAGTGCTCTTCTAATAAGACATCCTGCCCATGATTCAGTGGGACTTTCTAGCATCAGTAGCACATTCTAACCATCTTGCAGTCGTCAACCAACAAAAAAAATGCCTCCTGGACTTCCTTTGTCTCAACTTTGTTCACAAAGACGAGATGGATTCATAGCAATTGGGAGAGGAAGCCTAGAGTACTTGTGGCTGTTATCTTGTACTACATTGATTGATTGTATTAAGCAATTCTTATACTCTTAAGCAGTGCTGGAAGGGGGACGGGAAAAGGAGATGGAGGGTCCAGGAAAATTAAAATCGCCTTCAGAATGGGCACAAAGCTTTTCTACCATAATCAAGGGGACTTAGTTCTACACACAAAACCAAGAGCAATCTTGTATAATTGGGGAAGAGAGAAGGGTGATTTGCCCCACAGACTTCCCATACACTTCTAATTTACCTGGGAGACCATTAGCTACCATGGTGATCTGCACGGTAAAGTTTCTTTAGACAGATGGGTGGAAGAGAAACAATTTCTGACACTCCAAATAGCAAGGCTGAATTGAATTCTGCTGGCAGCCAAGCAAAAATGAAGTGGGGAGATGTCAAACGTTGTTGACCTGATCTAAACCTTTATGAATCCAAGGCAAGAGAGAAATGTGCCTGTAAAGAACAGCTTTTCTTCAACTAAATGTATCTGTATCGGGGCAGAGGCAGCTTGTGAACTGATGGAGAACAGCAGCTCATTGGCAAAGGCGGCAGGAGCAATGACTAAAGAAGCAAAGATGGTGGAAGCATTTTTCACTTGCCAATGGCATGGTGTTTTTTGGGGGGCGGGGGGGGTTGTGCACTGGTATCAGGGGTGATTAAAAAGGAAGAAGCAAACCTGAGGCTCCTTGGCATCTCCCAGACTTACAGCTGAAGGACTCATGAGGCACGGGCTCCGTTCTGTTGATTTTGGGCGAGTTGCTGTAATCCCTGCACCGTCAGGAAAAGGGGAAAGCTGATGTCGTCATAGTCTCAGCCACAAATCACTGGACTTGGTGCAGGAATCTAGGAAATTTTCTAACCTTGCCCTCAATCTCAATGGCTGTGCCAAGCTTTAAAAGTCTACTTGCGATGAATTCTTTTATTGTGCCAGTGGTACGGCTGGCGTAGATTTAGACCAGCTTTTAAGTACAGGGGGGTCCTTCAGAAGAATTTTGGAGAAGAATACCCTGCATTTGAAAGCTTATCTAAACTTATCCTAAGCATGTATTTGGTTCAGTAAAATATATCAGCTATAATCCTTGCCTCCCGCACATTTTCTAAACCATCATGGCTACATCGCTTCTATACTACTTGGAAGGAAATGATCTTGAGCGGAGGGTGGTTTAGAGCTAGGTTGTCAGGGTGTGTTAGTCAAGCATAAAAGGAAATTATATATTTAAAAAAGGAAATAGGTTACGTGGACCCAAAGGAGTTGCAAGGGTTTTCAAACACTCCAGGGGCCCTAGGGATGAAAGCTGGGTGTTAGGCTTGCATGTCCATCCTGAAATGTGGTATGGTTATGGATGTTAGAGAGATGGTCTGTTGGTTGGTCTAGTCCTTCCCCCATCCTGTGAGATTCTACATACCTGACTGTCCACCGAGCTTTTGCTGTGTTGAAACAAGGGCCCTTTACTTTTTGTGCACCTTATGGCCTCTCTTCCATGGAGGCAATGGCTAAAACTCGAACGTCAAGAGTTTACTTGTGTTCTCCAGTCATACAGTAAAAATGAATTCTTCTAGGACTAGCTGTCCCCTACCCCAACCTCTCCTTTCCCTTGAGCTGGGTGAGAGAATTCGAAGCTGGAGGACACGGGAGAGTCTGTCTTCATCCTCCAGTCTTTCAGCGAAGGGGGAAATGAGGATACATCGTGACTCATATAAAACCCACATTTAGGCAGCAGGAAGGAAGAAAGCTTAGAGACCAATTCTGAGAGACCAATTTTCCACATTGTGAGCCATAAAGGACTACATCTATTACTTATCCGCTTGCCTTTTAGCTTTCCAAACAACTGCTTCAGGGAAACTAAGTGACAAAATTGAAAAAGCAAAAGTGCTGCGTTTATCAGATAGAAGTGATTGTAGCAAGCACAGTCAGCTCATTTAGCGAGCCAGGAACAAGTGGTCACTGGAAAGTCCGGATGAGATGCAACTAACTGACCTCGGGGGGGAAAATGGCCCTGCTAGAAATTAGGGGTGGAAATCAACTTGCTTGTCTTGGCTCGTTCAGTGTCTCTGTCTCCCTGTCAACTGACTTGCCTATTTTTAGCTTTGCTAACTGGTTTATACAGCCTTACCACAAGTGTCCTGAGCAATTACAGCCTCCGCTATTTCCCTGGGAGACTCTTTCATGCTCACGCCTATCTCGCTGTCAAGAGCGGATCTCATCTTTCTGCTGTTCGCTCTACCTTTTCCCCTTTTCAAGAAGGACATCACCAAAGATTGTTGTCAAAGATTTTATGTAATATGGATGCAAGGAATCCCTAAGATCAGCCTACTAGGAGAGGAATAGAAAGGGTTTTCCTTCCACTCCTGTTTTTATCTTGCACATCACATGGCTCTAGCCAGTTAACTGCACTCCTGAATACAGGGGGGCATTTTACCGACAGCAGCAGCACCAGCCAGGCAGAGATGCACAAAGGAAGAGACAGGGAGGAAGGTGCACTTAATATGATAACCCCCAGGACCAGACAATTCTTCTAACCCTCAGAAAAAGAAATAGCCCCTTAAAATGTTATACATTTTTAAGGGGAAAAAAGGTTAGACATGGCAGTTTAATAATTAAAAATGTCAGTGGTTGTGTTTCAGTTCACCCCCTCGCTTCTAGGTACGCACACTAAATAATTCAGTTCCCTCTGTGGTATTTGTAGGGAGTTCACATTTTAAGGACAGTTTTGCCACCCTTCAGTAGCATAACTTAAGGTGGGGAGAGCAGGGTGCCAGCCCCAGGCACTGATTTAAAGGGTGCAAGAGGGGCAGGCACACAGCAGCAGCAGGTGTTTTATGGGGAGCCAGCAGCATGGCAGTCATAGCTCAGCACCCTGTTTTCTTTCCCCCGACACCTCTGTTCAGGGCACCAAAATAGCTAATTACATTTCTTCTGACCTTCCCTCCCCAGCCACAGCCTTGCAAGTGGCTCCACCAAACTATACATTTTTGGCTCTTGCTCTTTTCTTGTGTGTCTTGTTTAATCCTGAGCTGTGATCACTTGTGCTTCCTTTCTCCAAGTTGCCTTTCAACATAGCCCTCTCTTCTGAGAAGGTGTTGAAGTGAGTGCTGTATTCCAGCTCAGCCCAGAAAAGGTGTTAGTTGCCTGCCTTCATTACAAAGTACATGCATGTACTTAGCCCAGAGTTGAGGGTCATAGTCCCCCTGCTTTGGATTATGCTCACACCAAGGCTATCAGCTGCATGAGAAGATGAAAGGAACAGCTGTGGTCTCAATTCCTTCCATTTAATCCTGCCCTATGCAACCAGAAATGACTCAAATAGCTTAGGGAAAGCACTGTGAGTGGCCTTCTCTTGATGGGGCTCTCACATCTGACAAAAAGCAGGTTTCCTACACAGCAGCTGACTGGTCATGAAGCCCGATGGCATTTTGATAGATTTATTATGAGTCAAGAAGTTTAGATTTGCTTTGCCAGCAGTGGGGCATAATTTAAAAGGGAGAGCATCTTCCCTTTGTCTGCAGCATGGAATTACTTTTAGACTATCACTCTGTTTGTTATCAAGAGAGGAGTGAAGACATCAAGACCAAGATGATCATATGGGCTTTAGGGAGACACAAAGCTTGAATTCATGCAAGGGGTGAGGTATCCCCTAATCTCTGACTGGCACACCCTCTTCCAGGGGCTGGGAAATAAGGGTTATACAAGAGGAATACTGGTCCATGAAGGAGGCTTGTGGTTATAGCATGTATGCAGATCTGACCAGCAATCCATAGACTGTCTTGAACCACAGCTTTGTTACCCACTGCACATCACTGAATGGCTGGCATATTGGGTATCTAAGGATCTCCAGAGACACCTAGGAACATCTGGACCATGTCTGTTAGGTAGGGGATGCCCTAGTATTAGAAGTGAGAAAGCTGTGGTATATATCTAAGAATAATGTGGACGCTTTTGGCACCGCAGGGAAAACTGTGTAGGGTCCCTGGCAGCAGGCGGCAGAGCTACCCCTTGAATGGGGTAGGAGGCTCTGTCCAGGGGACCAGGCATCTTGGGGCAGTTGTGTGATATGAAGTTACCTGAGGCAGGTTCAGGTAACAGAAATGACCCAGTGCACTGACAGCTGGGAAATCCTCACCTCTGAGTAAGAGTGGGAGGAAGGTCAAAGACTTTTGACTGTTCAAACCCAAGTTGTTTAGTTTCCTGTTGAGGACTGAGCTGGACTTCACCCATTCCTTTTCTGCCTTGCCAAAGCTCCTCTCTGCATTGTTTTCACATGCACCTTTGGTACCGGTCTGTTTTGGGCATGCTGGACAAAAGCTTTGTATCATAGATCCTGGCATCCATTTTTAGCAAGGGACAGAGTAACTGTCTGCTCTATACTGAACAAACCTCACCAGGTACCACCTTTTCATGCAATCTTTCTCAAACAGAACTCAACACAGGGGCCGTTACCAAAACGTTTAATGTTAACGGTTCTTACTGACACATGAAATGTCCGTTGAGAGTTGCACTGCCATTTAAAAAAAGGAAAGAAAAGGAAGCTTTCGTTGCAATGACAAATTCTAATACACATTTTTAACAATGACCTGGCAACTGCACAAACAGGGACGTATGGTCCTTACAGATCCTCAAGCAATAATTACAGTGGCAGAAACTCATCTAAAAATTTTAAAAAAAGAACAAAATTAAATCCAGTCTCCACTGCCAGCATCCCATTGTCTACAGTGACTATGAAGGGGCACTTGCAATGAATTGAACATCCAAATACTACCATACTTGTGTGCTCACTTATGTGCATGTCAGTCTGCACACAGTAAATTTTGAGTTTTTGACAAGTTTGCGTTCTGAACCAGTGTCTGCAGCCATTTCCACATTTTGCTGGGAAAACCTATCTTATGGCAGAAGACAGCAACGTGTCCCTGGTCTCAGCAAGCTAGACAGAGTTCTACCAGAGATATCTTCCAGTTTCTCAAACTGAGCTTACCCAAACGGGACAGGGGTCAGAGCAAAGAGGCTTCAAGTTTCACGGGTAGGGTTATAGAAAAACCTGAGACTCGCTTGCTATGTTGGTTGGATTAAAAAGCATTTGACATGGACCCTGGAAGCAGTATGCTGAGTTACACATGAATAGCTTACAATAGTGTTTTCATCTGCTGCAACTAATAGAATATGCCTTTGAAAGTATTTGTTAACAAAGCAAATGCTGAGACTATGTATTGCAAATAGCAGCAAACCTTGAGACACAATAGTCACTGCCAGACTCTCTCTGCAGTGTAATACAGGTACAACGTGTACATTTTACTCTTAACATGTAGTGGTTCATAGCTGTTCCTTCAACCAGAACCTTAAAATCACTTGTTACACAATCCAAGTCAATTATGTCTTAACTAAATTACAATAAAAAAAATCAAATATAATATACATATTAGTCACATTGAGTGCTCTTAGACTTTTAAACTAAGTAAAGCTATAAATTATAGTCAACCACGTTAAGTCACAGACAGCAACCTTTGCAGAGAGGTAAGCATTGTCTCATGTTTGAAAAAAAAAAAAAAAAAAAAAAAAATTAGCATCAACACAAGCATTTGGGTTAATTTTCTTGATGAAAACTGCTTGGTGAAGCTGTTGCACTTCCTTTCATTTCGCAGCTGCTGCTTTCCTCCTAACACCCATTAGCTTATGCTCATAGCTTGGGATTTTTGCAAAGAGCCAACAGGGGTTGAACTGCCCTTATCTCGGGTGCCTTTGAAAATCTACCTTGGGTAACTTCAAAGCATGTGCTCCTCATCCAGAGGTTTGCCTGAGGACAATAGGACAAAGTGGTTCCAAGCCACAGGCTTAAACTCAGAAGTCTTAGGACCTGACGGATGCAACTGAAGTCAATGAAAAGATTCCTGTCAACTTGGGCAAGGTCACCGGCCCTTGGAAAGAGCAAGTCAGCTTAACTTGTTCTTACTCTTTCCTTCAGCAGAACCGGGATGAGCTCTTTGGTTGTGAGCTTCCACCCAAGCATCTCATCCAAGCCGCTGGCCCTGTCCGGTTCCCACTATTTCTAACTCCACCTGCTCGGTGCTGCCCTAACCATTTCCTTCTTGGCCGACACATTAAGTCTTGCTCAATCCCAGCTCCATGGAATGACTGTAATTCATTCCACAAATGAAAGGATAAATATAGGACCTTTATATAGCCTTGATGGCTAATGTGCTACTCAGAGCTCTGCTATGGGATTTTTCCACTGTGCAGCCAGCTGGGAAGCCTTGCCTGAATATCCGTTTGGCATATATTGTGTTGTGTAAGGGATCGGATGGAAGTCAACAGTGCTGCAAACTTCCGTTCGTCACCTTTTGCTTACTTCCATGGGCCTTCAACTCCTTTCTCTGCTCTGTACAGAATAGAATTCTGCTCCTGTTTGCAAATGATCACTTTAAAACCACAGGAACAGTCTGAAAAGTGACAGCAAAAATTGCTTCAGAAGGTTCCTTGTGGCTTTTTATTTTGCCAGGTCCAAACAGAAGTTTTCCTTTGCTGTCAGGCTTCCTCCAGGATCTGAAAACCCAGCTGGAAACAGCTTGTGTGGAGGCTGCACACAACTGGAGCATGAGCTGAGAACGCAGCAGGCGCCCTGGGGCCCAGCTTGCTCTTCCACAGGTGTGCAGGCTCTGGCCAGCCAAGAGGAATTAAAATGCACAGGCCCATAAGGCAAGCATGAAGTTGGACATGCATGGAGCATATCTGTAACACAACATGTTTTATGGTGCCATTGTTCTAACTGTCTACACAAAAAATTAGTGATAAGTGGGAAGAAATGTAGAATGTCAAGGCCAGGTACACCAAGGAGCAAAAGAGATGCCAAAATGCGATTTAAGTTTGCTAAATGCCGGCTACAGCTTCGCTTGCATCAATGCAGGGAGGTCTTGCAAGACGCAGGCATTTTTGCAAGGAACCAAAGCGGTGTGGGGTAAGAGCACAAGGGCTGGGACAGTTAAGAACGGACATGTCGTGACAAAGCAGCTGAATCGTATCAACAGTACCTGAATGCAGGATTACAAGAAACCTTCAAAAAACTGAAAAACATCACCTCAGTGAGGGGACTTTGCAAGAGACTTTCTCAATCCCAGCTCAAGCTGCGGAGTTGGTGTTGAGCAAAATGATGGTGCCTTCCCAAGAATCAGAAGTGAATTTGATATCATCAGGACAGGCAGGGCTCTAGATGGATTAACCTCACCAAGTAGAGGTGTGACAGAGTAACCCAGAAGAGTCCATCAATCAAAACTGAACTGCGTGGCTATTTTTCAGAAAGACCATGAAACAGAGAAACCAAGCTAATAACCCTGAAATCCTCACTTGCAGAGAACGGCCCAGAATCTGTGCGTAAAACGTGTGGGCTAGGGAGCTTAATTCACCTGGATTACCAATAATCTAACATTTCTAAAGCACTGTCCCAAAGCTCTGACCTCTGCAAACTGAAGCATGTTGGAGGTAAGGGGAGAGGGGAAATGTGTTCAGGTCAAACAGGATCTGTCTGCTAAGTAGTCAGGGGAAAAATTCCAGTTTTTGGTGCAGAGAAATTTCTTTGCAAGGGAAAAATAAAAGATGTAGTGTTCTTTTCCTGCAATTTAACAGCTGCACATCATCAGATGTTATATAAAAAGGTTAGTTTAAAATATAGGATAAGCAGATGAGTTAGTGGTCAGAGAACACAGGACAGCACAAACCATACTGCCTTTCTGTGGAAGGGCAGATAATTATAAAAAAATATAGATATACTTTCTCTAATCCAAGATTCTTGTAGTGACAGGGCTTGCCTTATTTTTTTCTGCTGCCCTGGTCTCCTCTCAATGAGGAATACATCACTAGAAAAGGGCTTAGTGCAATTGATAAAATCAGTAGCAAGTCATCACAATTTTCTACATCAGTCAAAAAAAACACACAAAACACGCACACCCAACACCACAGACGGACAGTCACATTTTGGTATGGCTTTGGGTTTTGTCACTAGCCTTCTTCTGATGGGCAAGTCATTTGTGTGGCTCAGAACAATCCAACTCCAAGTCTTTTAAACATCTGATCTATCGAACAAAGACCAAAGTGTTTATCTGATTTGCTTCGAGGGAAATAAGTCCCCAGGGCCCACTGAGCTGACTTTTGGTTTCCTTTTCCCATTTTACGCAATACATTTTGAGCTGAGAAACGGCTGTGCAGCGCTGCATCCATCCTTCATTCTTTAGCCCCACACCTTCAAGAGAGAGAGCAGAGCCTGGCAGGACGAATGTGGGTCGTTCTTACATGGGAGTCTGAAAGCTGGGAGCCGAAAGGCCATTTTTTAGGCAGAAGTTTAACGGCCTGCTGCTGCACGTGGCACAATCGCTGGCATGGAGGGGACGAGGCTGGTTTTGGTGCTGCGGAGATTAACGCCTCCCCACGTCCTGGTGAAGGCTTTGGCAGGTCTCTTGACAGCAAGCGGACTTCTCCCAGGGCACCGTCACGCCGTAAAACAGCTTTACCTAGGGGAGGGAGGGGGGGAGACAAATGGCAAAAGGAATTGGCGTGGTCAGGGAAGGTCTGTAATTAAATTGCTCACAGGCAGAGCTGGGAATTTATGTACAAGATAAGGGGGAGGGGGGAACCCCAAGAAGAAAATAATAGTATTCACTTCTGATTGCTATCAGTTCCCTTGGAGGCTTATTTCCATGGTGACGCTGGACACGGACCTGATTTAATGCACTGGGGAAAGCAAGAGAGCAATCCAAGCAAACAGCGGGTGGGGTTAAGAAGGCAGTCAAGCAACAGTCAGGAGAGCCTGACTGCAGCCAGCGCAGCTTTTGCAGCACAGAACAGAGATCCTGAGCCCCGTAACAACACTGCTTGTTTCCCATGTTAGCCCCACTAAGGAAGGTAGCTTTCATATCCACCAACCCTTCACAGGGGCTCTTTTGGCTGTTAACTTATTTCTGGGTAGGACTGCAAGGCCTGTACCTATTGCGCTAGCTAGCTGGGAGCTTCTGGCCTCAGCCTTTTTCTTTGTGGCCTGACTCAGCGGGGGGCAGAGACTGGCTTTCAAAAGGTGCCTGGCCATGAAACCCTTCCAGCAGCACCAAAGCTCCAGGTAGCTTGTTGCATTTACAGCAAATGACTGAACGAGTTAGTGATTTTTCACCCTTCGGACAAGAATAAACGATGTCCCCCATTTATCCAGGCCCCTTTATGGCTCTGCCTGCCGCTGCTGCAAAAATATACATGTAAGCAGTTACAAACTCAGTGCAATTCCCCTTGTATCAGACAGAAAAGGCCTCTGGCTTTCACTTGCAAGAAATCCATTATAGCTGCTCTCTGGGGACCAAACACCTTGCTGTAATAAGCAGACAATGCTGCTCTCCATTCAAGGCTGCACAGGCTCTGGAAGGGGATGGCTTCTACAGATGGGGACAAGCTGGGGTGGAAATCAAAGTCAACTTCCAGTATGTGCTGCCCCCCACCTATTCCTTAGCACCAAGGTATAAGCTGCACTAGTCCCTCTGCCTCTCCACTAAAGCACCTGCGCTTAAGGGCTTATGCTGTTGCTCTCCAGTTGATGCTAGGTATAGCTGGGTTGAAACCATCCACTTCCCTGCTCATTTCCTCTGCCTTACATCTGTATGTGTGAGTACAACACCTTGCCCCTCTCTTGGGGCACTCTCATAGCAAGAGCAGGAGACACTTGGAAAAATGCTCTGTTCCCAAAATACCTCTTGGTTTTGCTGCTACTAGAAGACTGGGTGGGAAGATGCTCTTCACTGAAAGCAAACTAATGAATATAAAGTAGGTGCAGGGGAGGGATGAAGAGTTTGATCAGCTTCAGAAAACATTTGTAATTTTCTTTCACATATTTATTTAGGGGTCTGGGGGAAATTCCCACCCAGATACCTGTATTCTGTCTCTCCATGTTCCCCCTAGTTACTCTGTTCTGGGCTCTCACCTGGCATCCATCATCACCACAGCACCTCAATACCTTCCAGCAGGGATGTCAAACTCATCAAGCCCTGCAAGCTGGATGAACAGCATTCAGCTGGGTCTGCAAGCTGGATGAATGGCAGGCGGCTGGGTCCATGGGGTGGCAGGGTCCACAGGCAAGCCCCGTGTACCAAATCCCACGAACGGGGCTTGCATGCAGCACGTCCCTCAGACCCGTTGTGTGCTCCACATGGAGCGCGCATCAGCCTTAAACCTGTGTGCATTAGAGGGAAAATTACCCTGCTGCATGCAATGGCAGTGTAACAGGGCTAGTGTGCTATACCCCAGTGCGAGCTGCATTTCAATGCAAGGCCAAGTCCCTGGAGGTGTTCTCAAATCCTTTGGCTTATGAGAAGCAATAATATTAGTTCAGTGTTTTCAGTTTTCTGGAGAAGCACACAGGCAATTCCTCAGTGCATTAAGCTCATTAACTCTCCCCTAATAACTCCATCCTTTTACCTTTTTTGAAAAGGTTTCATTTTGCTACTGAGTTTAAAGGGACGATTGTTCTAATGACACTAAGCAAACAGAGGGCTCCAAAGCAGGACGTGAAAGCAAACCTGATACTGTACCAGCCTTTGTCTACAGTCCCTGCTGGTTACCAGAGGTGCCCTCAAGTTATTGAGCCAAAAGGTTTTATCAGGGCGGCTCTCAGGGTATATTATGAAGTCTATGGAAGTTTTTGCTCTGGTGTCAGGGCACAGTGCTGCCTGGCAAATGAAAGAGGCACTTGAAGGACTATAGTATTCATTTTTTTTAAAAGAAGGGGACAGAAAAGGTTGGATCTAGAGGAGAGGAACCCAGTTGTCTTCTGCCACCTTTACCAAGGTGCAACCCCACCTTTGCCAAGCGCCAAGAGTCACTGATACGACAACCTAGCTTGATCCCTAAGCAGGGCTGTATCTCTACAAAGCTGCCAACAGCAGCTGCCACCACCAAGGTGTCAGGAGCATGTGCCTGCCCATGCAGCTGCGGTAGCTCTATTAGGACAGCCATGCTGCCAGAGCACCATGTGCGCTCTGGGACCGCACCTGCAGCTGAATGGACTTCACACGCCTTCAGCTGGCTGTCAGCAGATGCCTGCCTCCACTCGACCAGGACAGCACGATGCTGCTGTCAGGCTGGAGGGTACTGCCAAAGCAGGGAGGGCTCGAAAAGCGCTTGCTTTAAGTTTGCAGCAAAATTCTGCATCATAAACTAGGCCTAAGTTTCTCTTTTTTTTTTTTTATCATGACGGCTCCTAACCAAGACCAACTCGGAGGTGCAAAACAGGCACCGGTCTATCAGGAGATGTACCAGAGGACAAGGCTTTTTTGGATTACTTCTAGCTGGACCAACTGTGCAGTTGGGAGAGCTGTTAGAGAAGCTCTCAGGCATCAGATGAACTTCCTCGGGTCACAAAAACCCTTCCTTCTAGGACATTCAGCACCAATGTGGCCACAACACTCCCACCCTACTACAACATGAAACTTACTTACAAACTCTCTTCCTGTAGGCCAGCGAGTCGCTTGATGGCAATACCCCACCATCAGACAGGCATGGACTTCTGGGGTTTTTGCCTTCCTCTGTAGCAGGAGGCAGGATCCTCTTCTGGTGGACAGTGCCCTTGTCTCCCTGCTTTCCCCGTGGCGGGTTAGGGTGTTCTGGTGTTTTGAGGCATTGTGCAAAGATCGTTCATTTTAACAGATTAGACTAATGCTTTTCTAGGATGGTTTAGATAGAGATGATCCTGCCTTGAGCAGAGGCTGGACTAGATGACCTTGCAAAGTGCCTGCCAGGTCCTTACTGGCTAGCATCATAGAAAAGTAGCAATATGGACTGGGTCAAATGTCCAAAACCCCAAAGGGGTCCTGTATTCCCTTCCACCTGCAAAAGCCTCTGCACTCCCTACTGGAGCTGCCTCTGGACTCTAGTTTAATTTGTTGGTTTAAAAAAAAAACAAACCACACAAGCAAACACACCAAAACACAACCCCACATTAAACTGTTTCTGTGAGGCTTTTCAAGTAGGTGTTATTGCCTAAGTGGTTTTGCCTCTCTGCTGTGTGATAGGCTTTTATTTACATGTTCAGCCTCTTGTCACACAGAAGCAAGCTCTCAGGATTAGAGGCGCTGTTGACGGAGCTGCTTCCCTGCAATGTAAAGGAGAATAGGAAACTCAATCCAGGCACGTACACGCCTGTGTCTGTCATGCAGGTGACTTTACTACCCACTGACAGGGCTTTGCTTAGTTAAGACTGTGAAGTGGTCTAATGAGTCTGCTTTGTGCGTGTAGGGGGGGGTGTCCTACCAACACGGCTGGCTGCAGCAAGAGGCAGGGAATCCTAAAGACGCTGCCTTCAGCCCAACTGATGCCGTCTGCTACTTCTCTGTGCCTCGCTCAAACCTGGAAACACAGCGTGCAAGGACAAAGCATCAAAGGAAGCAAACTGCCTGTATGAGCACAATTGGAAAGGCACGTGCCACTTCTCCCCTGCTGCTGTCACTCTGCTGTGAGGCTTTTAATTAAAATGCTATTTGCCAGGGGTGAGAGGAAAGAGCCTGAAACTTTAATTATTCCACAAAACACAGATGCAAGTGTCTGCTTGGTTCTGTCAGATGCTATAGTGACACACAACCTGCCCACAACTTCTAAAAGATTTGTGATGGACCCAAATTACAAGCCTATGTGTATTTTGGTCCTTTGTGCATCAGGCAGCCAGAGAAGTGATTTTTGTATAGAAGCAGCCCTAAGACAGTTTATACGCACGGAAGTGACAGGAAGCAGCTAGCAGCATGGTATTCCAGCCAAATGGTCTTTGCCACCTTGGACCTAGAAGTCTGAAGTCTTGCTTTGGCATATCCAAGGAATGCACCAAGGTATTAGCCAAATACACCCATGGTACATCAAAGTTGAGATGCATGCCTTTTATATTTGCTCCCATTAAGCCCATTCCCTTTCTTCTGAGCTCCAAAGCTTTCCTCAGGGATGCCTATCCAAGCCAAGTGCTTCAGGCTCCCTACTGATGGAAGGCACTCAAGAAATGAGAGGTTGTAATAAATTGTTTATTCCTTTCCTTCTTCGAATGATGGACCAAGCTTTTGTAGCCCAACCGCCTGGAAGCATCTGGGAGTGATGCTAAGAAATGGCAGATGACTTTGCATGAAAGGATTTTAGAGGTTCTGGGGTTGTTTCTAGGGTTTTCCTTCCTATCTAGAGGACTTAATTAGGACAGCGTATACATTACAGAGTTGTACCTAGCAGGACGGGTGGGTGCAAATGCCAAAATTGTAGCATGACTGCACAAGCCATATCCTTCAAGACGAACGTACTGCAAATCAGTACACAGATGATCTGCACCAGTGAGGCAATTGCAGGAGTGATTCTTAACAACCGTGCCACTGGATACTAGCACGGTGAACGGCTGAACAGTGGTTAGCTTGGCTCCAAGCAAGCCGTTCCAGTCCAAGCATTGGCATGCTTACGCAAGGGCTGCCGGGAAGTCCATGTATTGCACTCCTGTGAGGGGGATGCAGCCAGTGATCAGTATGGCAAGATTCACTAGGCCAGATGATCAGAGGGAGGCTGCCAAGAGGAGGAAATGCTCACTGGGAAGAAATGGGAGGCTGGTGGAAAAGAGCAGGACGTGCTGCCCTGGCTGGCAGGAGGCACCTGCAGATGTTTTAAACATAGAAAAAAATGAGAAGGAAGTGGGAGCAGGGATCCCCCAGCCCCAGGAGGGCTCATCATGCAGCATTATCTGCCAGACCTCAGCCTTGCTCATGCTGCCTCCAGGATGTTGCAGGTCATTACATTTTGCCTTAATTAGCTAACGAGCTGGAAATATCCATCTCATCCCTTCCCTGGTGCACTGACCCTGCCAACACTTCTGTGACTTCCTCTGATATATCCGGGTTTCAGCATCTGAAAGGGTTTTTTTTTTTTTTTTTTTTTTTTGGAGGCAGGGGAGGGGAGTGTTTGCTATCACGGGGAATAAGAAAGTCTTCCCATAAGCAGCAGTTAATGAAGCCTCATTAAAATATATAGGCACTGGCTAAATAGTCAAAAACAGCCCTTTCATTGGTACAGCAACAGTGCTATGGCTAGCCACATGCGCTGCACTTCTGTCCCTTTGTGTAAGATTATTAAAAGTGGTATCTCCATTTTATTGTGCTCCTGGCATGCAAATCAGCACTAGGCTGCACTCAAAAGCCTTGGACCACAGACAGCATAAAAGAGTTGCTTGCAGAGGGCACAAGATGGTAGAGGAGAATCTGGGATTCCCACCGAACCAGCAGTCCAGGCTATAACTGGAGTCACGCAGGTGGTGCTAATGGAGCAAGGGTAGAAAGTTGCATCTGAAAGAGGTAGGTAGTCAGCTTTTTCTGGAGTCACTTTGCTGGGTTTTACTCCCTATGCTAAATGAACAGAGAGTACTGAATGATATTCTCTTCAAGCAATTAATCCTACTGAAGAGTCCTTCCCCCTCCTCCCCCCCACCTCCTCAGGCATTACGGTGTATGTGCTATTATACAAAAGGCCAAACCAACCCATAGTTTTAATAAGAGACTTCCCTTTGAACAAAGAACTTGGTGAAAGGTGAACTCTTTTGGGGATGTGGTGAAGTCTCTGGGCACAGAATCTGGAGACCCTGAAACTTTCTATGACTTTTAAATCCTAAAAGTTCCTCTCCCTCTCAATCTTGCCAGGGGACTGGCTGTAGGAAGATGCTCTCTTTCTAACTGTTGGAGTGAAGGAACCCTTAGGCCAAGCAGTACAGATTTCTGAAAATGTAAATTCAGTAGCCACTGCACTGGGATTTCATCTTCCCAGACTGGAGAAAGAGAAAGCAAAAGGACAGGATGGTGTAGATCAAAAATAAACTCTCTTGGTGACGCCCTTCCTCTGCGTCACCCAAAGTGTAGGTGCATCTTGGTCTCTAAGAACCTGAGAAGACTGAGTTCATTTCAGTCAGAGACAATATAGTGCACTCTGGGTGGCCAAACAGTCAGATAATGTGGCTAGGACTATCCCTGGTCAGACTTCCCAGTAAGTTTGCCTCTTTGCTTATCTGGTATTTTGCTACTGGATGACTCTCTCCTGCAGCACTACTGTGAATCCCATTCAATTTCTCTTGGTCTTAAGAAACCATCTCCAGTCCCACCAGAAAAAGTTTGCAAAGAAAGTAGCCTGGGAATGCACTTAGCAGGGCATGTTTTAGATTGCTCTTTTCTTCCCTTTAGAGCCAGTCCAGTGCATAATCCAATGCCCAGTGAGCCCCACATGTACTTTATGGACTAAACGCCAACAGAACGGTCCATGCCACCCAGGACAAATGAGGCAGTCTGCGGCTCCAGCATGCATACACAATGTGGTGGGCTGGGAAGCTGTCTGTGGGCATGGGAGGGAGGTGGCAAGACTGTGAATGGAGTTCCCCTTCAGGAGTGATCTGAATGGGGGAAAAAGCAGTCACTTGCCACAGCAACCCTTTGGTGAAAGTGGACTCTGCTGGCTGAGATGATATCCTGTGTTTCTACAGCGCCCGTTGGCCAATGATAAACCACACTTCCCATTAGTCACAGATTGCTAGGGGGTGGAAGGGACCTCGGAAGATCAGGTCCACCCCCCTGCTCTAGGGAGGAAGACAACTGGGGTCAAGTGACCCCAGCAAGGTGACTGTCCAGTCTCCTTCTGAAAATCTCCAGGGTAGGTGACTGCACCACCACTGGAGGGAGTTTATTCCACAGTCTGGACACCCTAGCTGTGAAGGAGTTTTTCCTGGTATTAAGCCTGAAGTGGCGTTTGTATTCATTTGTCCTGGTCTTCCCCAGGGGTGCCCTAATGACCCAAGCTCCTGATGCACTCCTCTGATATAGTGGTAAGCCGCTATCAAGTCCCCTCTAAACCTTCTCTTCTTTAGGCTAGAGGCCCAGGTCCCTCAGCCTTTCCTTGTACGGCTTGCCTTGCAAGTCCCTGATCATACCGATGGCTCTTTTCTAGACCCTCTCAAGTTTTACCATGTCCTTATTGAAGTGCGGCACCCAGAACTGGATGCGGTACTCCAGCTGCGGTCTCACCAGTGCTAAACATGGCAGGAGTATCACCTAGTTTTACCCAAGATGCATCAGTTGATGCATGCCAGCGTGCTGTTTGCCCTGTTGACCACCGCCTTGTACTGACGGCTCATGCTTATGTGATGGTTAATCATTGCCCATAGGTCCCTTTCACCCATGGTGCAAGTCAGGCTGTCACCACCGAGCCTGTATGTATGTTGAGGGTTGTTTGCCCCCAGATGGAGCATCTTGCACTTGGAAATGTTAAACTTCATCTGGTTCCGGTCTGCACAACTCTCAAGCCTGTCCAGGTCCGCCTGTATATGCAACCTATCTTCTGATGTGACCACACTGCCCCATAACTTGGTGTCGTCCTTGAACTTGGCCAGCGAGCTTTTCACTCCCCCATCCAAATCCATTGATAAAGATGTTGAAAAGCATTGGTCCAAGCACGGACCCTGAGGGACACCACTGGCCACTTTGTGCCAGGATGACATGGATCCGTTCATGAACTCTCTGGGTCCTACTTCGAGGTTACCAGGTAAATTAGTTACCACTACGCATTCAAAAGAGGGACCCTCCTTTTACAAAAAGGTGAAGTGAGGCAAAAAGGCTCACCGTCTTGTGTGGGGGGCTCATGGTGCAGCAGGGGACGCAGGGGGAGAGGTGTGGCCTGTATGGCCCCTTAGAAGTTGGACAGCCCTGGTCTAAATCAAAGACTGAATTTTCCCCTCTAGAAATGCTGGATTTAAGCATCCCAACTCCCACTTACTTCAATAACCCTGTGTAGCTCTCTGAAGGCTGCATCAGCAGCAAGCAGGTCTTCCTTCTCCTGTTCTGTTTCTGTTGTGCTTGTCACAACCATACTGATGAAATGCATGTAAGAGTAGAGACTCGGAGGCGGCCTTCCCATGAGATGGACCCTCTTCAAGAGGCCGAGTGGAAGCTACTCGGGGAGGCTGCAGGCAGAGATGATCTATGTGGAGCTCTGACAGTTGGGTTAGGAAAGTGCCAGGGAAAGATGAGACTGGTTTGGGACCAAATTATTTAAACAATTCAGAAAGAGTGACTCATCCTCGTTGTTTGCTTGCTTCCGACCCCTGCCTTACTCCTTCAGGGAGAGAGGCATTGAGTTTTTTGGTAAGCTACCAAAAGAAACCACAGGCCACCACATACTTAAGTGTTTACGGAGTGCCCTTTGGCACGAACACATTGTTCCTGCTCTCAAAACAAGGTGGGGTGAGGATAATGCAAGTCAGCAGAAGTTTGACCAGAACTAGGAGTTGCTGGGATCCACATGCATCCCTGAAGTTAATGAAGCCTCCACTAGACAAAGAAGCGTTCATGTCAAATAGTCCCTACCTGCCCGATACTGAGGGCCTGGACAAGTATATCAGCAGGACAAAGCCTGTCAGATGCTTCAGACCCAGATGTGCCTAAGTCTACACACTATCCTGACAGCCCAGTGTTTTCTCCACCCAGTTCTAACAGAGCCCACGGAGAGAAGCAGCTCTGAATACAGGGACCCAACCCATTCACCCTGCACACGTCTGACTCTCCCTGGTCAGACTTTCCAGTTCTCCTCTTTTGCTTATCCAACATTTTGCTACTAGATGACTTTTTCCCTTGCACCGTTATTGCGAATCCCATTCAATTTCTCTTGGTCTTATGAAAATATCTCCAGTCTCACCCCCAGAACCACCCATTCACCCTACGAACATCTGAGTATTACCAGATGGCAGTGATGCCTTTACTGTACAGGAAAAGTGCACCTTCCCCCAGCAGCTACCACATCCAGAGAACGACTGGGTACAACAAGCAGCCAAGCACGAAAGTTGAGCTTGCTAAGCCGTGATAGCGTGGTAGCTTGAAATGGCTTTGTGTTTAGGCACAGCTCATCTGACAACACTTCCCCACAACAGAGGAGCAAAAAGGATGCTCTTGGAAAGAGTATGTTTCTAGGAACAGAGGGTGAGGACAGGGCAGGCCAAAGTAGGTTTCAGGTGCCTGAGCCAGAGACCAGAGCAGTGAGGCTTGTGCTGAATGAAGGGGACAGCAGAGGAGGGAGGAAGCTGCAGCTTGAGGCGTGTGCATGTGCGGGCGAACAGAAGCTAAAACTGTCTGCTCAGCTAACGCAGCCCCTGAGGCTGCTTGTAACCAGGCCACGCACGCAACAATTACCTGTATTTCACATCAAACACCGTGGAGTCCTCGTCATCGTCCTCGTCCTCATTCAGAGGAGCCATTTCTACCCGCTCAGCCGGAGTCGTGATGATGTCATACTTCCGGGTCTTCCTAATCCTCTTGCCAGACCTGAAACGAGAGAGGGAGCTCGTTGCTACTGTTCTACAGCAGGAGGGCCAGGCTGATGTGCAACCCACTGTCCTAAATGTTTCTGGGCTACTGATGCTTAGCCTGTGGAGCCAGAGCCTCCCCTCCCCACTTCCCTGAGCTGCCACTTGTGCCCATCACTGAGGAGCTCAGTGTTCTGTCGGCTGTAATCCAGATCAATGTCAGTCTTGCTGTTTCAGACACGCCAGCCCGTGATCCTTCAATGTCCAGGGCAAACATGCTCATGCAGCGGCTCACCAAGTCCCCATGCTGCTGTACTCAGACAAAGGCTTAATTGGCAGAGGCAGCTGACAGGACAGCCAACGTGCTTAGAGGAAGAAACCATATCAGCCCTGCTGGCTCCAGGGCTTCCAAGAAGTCCGGGGCATCAGAGAAGAATTACAGGAGGAAGAGGCAGCTGAGGCTGGACTTGGGAGTAGACAAACCCCTTCTGGTTCCTCTGGATGCTGGGTTAAGTCCCTAATGCAGCCTGTCATTTTACACGGGCAATTTCCACATTTGGCAGCAACCCCAGGGGAATACTCCTGGGTACATCCTGCTTGCATGCAGCAACCTGTGACTGGAGCAGGGAAGCCACTCCGGGGTGCCCCTGCATGCTGAGGACAGGGCTCAAGAGAGCCACGGGGAGAGGAGTAGTTTTGGGGGGTGGGGGGAGGTTCACTGCCTCATTTCCAGGTATGGAACATGCAGGGACACATTTAAGAGAGCCTCTGCCTAGGAGCACCAGGGATGTATTGCAGACAACTGTGAAAAGTCACGAGCCCCAGGGTGACACATGGCTACCCCTACCATCCCTCTCCTCCAAGAACAGTCACTTCTTTGGTACCAGAGAAGCTTGTACACCCAGGTGTGTTTTGCACCCATTGTGAGATTCATTTTCCAGTATTTACTTGCATTAACATGTTTTGGCAACCATTGATCCTTCCAGATCATGGTGTATGCATAAAAGGTCACCTAGACCTTCGATGAATATGCCTAGGCAGGAGCTTTTTTTTGGAGGAGCGGAGGCTGCCCAGACCTTCCATCCCCGCTTTAGGCCACTGAGACAGAATCCAAAAGGCCAGACCGAGTCCGGACACTTGGTGCTTCCATGGTTGTATTTTGCGTTAACATAACTTTAACATAAAACATCAATAGAATACAGTTTAAATCAACACTGTGCCTTTAACTCCAAGCCCCTGTATTATAGAGGTGCTATTTATTCCACAGATTAACTCAAGGTCATGAGCTACCTCTCACAGCTTGTATGCAATCCTAGATTTGTTGTGGCTATGCTGGCTTGTGTGTTTTCTGCTGGTGCATTTAAAGGAAGCTGTGAATAACTCATCTTTTTGGAGGAGGAGGGGGTTAGTGTAGAGCAAGAAAGGGCTTAGTATAATTGCTTGCACTCTGGAAAAGGTTTCATTCAACAACATAAAGAAGTTCTCTCCCTAAAATCCTTGTTCAAATCCAACCACAAAGTTGTCAGATTGGCAGAACTGGATGCCTTAAAGTTTCTGATCACTGGTCCCAGGTTAGTACTTCCCAGTCTTGAGAACATATTTGGTGTTGGGAAGCTTTGCCGCAATACATCACACACGATGTGCTGGATGCTCCATTTCAAAGACTGTGGACCCTTGGAAATAAGAGTCTGCCTAATATGCAGGTTTGTGATACAAAAGTCTTATTTCCAGTGTTATGCTAGAGATCATAGATGATGATGACGACAACAATAGTCCCTTCTGACCTCAAAAAAAGAAAAAGAAACCATTTGAGAGATCTCTGATGTGAAAGCTGTTGCTGGCTTCTCAGTCTAGCGTTTCCTTCTTGGCAAAGGTCCATGAATAAATAAAGCAAGTCCCAGGCCTTGGGCAGTGTAATTTTAATTCTCTGAATGTTCTAAATTTGAACAGAATATATAAATGTCTCCATCATCATCAACTAATCTGTATATAATAGTCTGTGTTGCCCTGTGCCACAGATGATGCAGAGGTTTTCTTCTGTTACTCCACCCATTAAAATAAGCAACCCTATACAGTGAGATAGGATTATCAAGAGCTTGGGTTAGAAGGATCCTAACAAAACGCCCGTCAGCCTTACTCTACTGCTTGGCCAAGATGCAAGGTCTCATCTTGCAACAGAACATTTATTCAGCCACTGTAATATATTAAAACTCAAGTGTGTCCGTGTCCAACTGAATGAAATCTATTTGACTAGTGTCATTCTTGTATTTGTTCATTGGCTAATACAATGTGTGAGGGATCTCTTGTGTTATCATGAATTAATAATGTTACACAGGAATGCATATTAAAAGAATATCCATTTTTTTTTTTTTTCTGTCTGCATATCAGACCTACTTCTGTTATAGGCCATCAGTGGTCGTCGCCTCACTTAACAAAATGTATTGCTCTATATTCTACACACGCAGATGTGCTTCTGGAGCCTTTCTGACCATTACTGCTGGATACTGCATTATTTAAGGGTGGCTAATTCCTGGTAGCCAAATAGTTCTCTTTTAATTTCTCTATTCAGGTTCCATTTTGAAAAGGACCTTCATAGTTATGACCATAAATAAGAGAGTGCTAAAAACCTTTCCACAACAACCATTTAGTAAGTAGAACAGTTGGTTGAGGGGGGGAAAAAAAAATTTTTTAAAAATTCAAAGACTGGGTTTTGTCAACATTTTTCTAAGCTGTTGAAAGAGCCCAGTGACAAACTGCTCCTTGCAGCTGGGCAGAAGACCTTCATTTCCCTCCTCCCTCCTTCATTCCCTCTTGGCATATTTGGATGATGTGCTTATTATTAACCTGCAGGCCCAAGAGTCAATTCTCTCTGGAACAAGCAATCCCAGGGGCGGCAAGTTTTCATAAATGACAGATCTGTGAGCCACGCAAAGATTACTTGCGGTTTCCCATCCATGTTCAAAATGATTCATCATGTGGACTGTAGCCCAGCCTGTTTCCTCTCCCCTTGCTGCATAGTGGACCTCCTTAGCCTCACCAGGATACCTTTAATCTTCAATGATGATGAAATAAGAGAAGACCACATACAGTCAGACAAGATACCATCCATCAAAACCGCAATGTGTTGAGGCCTCGTGTGAACAGGCGGCAGCTGTCCAACCTGATCGGACGGAAGCTAGGAACAGCAAGGAAGTGAGGAGCAGCATTCAAAGCAAGCCCCTCTGATAACAGACTGAGATGCCCCTGTATGAAAGATCTTTATTAGGAGTGATAATGGATATTCATGAACACAGATTTTGATACTGGAGACCTGGTCTCCAGTGAAAAGTTGTACAATCCCAACTGGATGCACCTAGTCCCCTACAGTTAGCAGGTTTAAGTAGGAAATGCTGTAGATCAGTAAAGAAGCATGCAGGGTAGAGCTGGGGGACACAGAGCCACATGTAGGGATAGCAGGAGCACTAACCATTGTGAGAGGTTAGCAGAGCCACAAGACCTGTGCAGAGGAAAGTGCTGCTGCAGGTCTAGCTGAAAGACTAGGGCAGAGTTGGGGAGGAGCTGGCAAAATTCAATGGGCTGTCAGGTCAGAGTTGGATCAGTAGTTCTCATCGCAGGTGCCAGGGCACCCTGCAGTGCACTGAGATCCTTTCAGGTGTGCTACACGGTGCCAGGCACTGTTGGCACTGTGCACATACAATTCGCACAGTGTTTGGCGTGTGCATACAATTCACAAAACAAGCCCAGAGATTTCAAATAGAAATCTGTAGTGTTAAAAGCCTTTGGGTCTGTTGTAGTCTTTCTGAGTTCTTTGCAACCAAAAAAAAAAATTGCTCCAAATTTCTCTAGTCAAATAGAAAGTGGAAAATAAGAGCTGACATTTTCCAAGGGTGCCTCAACTCTATCAAGGGTTGTGCCGTGTCTGAAAAGGTTGAGAAGCATGGAGCAGATGATCAAAACGGTCCATCCCAGTCTTAAATAAATAAATAAAATCTGTCAGTCGATCTACAAAGCTCGTGTGGCATCTGTACAAGCCACAAAATAATTGCAGCCAGTATTACCAGACTCTTGCTTTAGATCCAGTGCTGTTCCCATTGAAGCCAAAGGGAAGCACTCATTCGATTTAACAGAAATAGGATTAGTGAGCACATGCTTGCTTAATACAAGGAAAGCAATGCCTGACCTGCCGGCCCCGCTCAGGAGGATCCAGCTCATGAGTAATTCAGACACATTAGTTTATTCTTGGGTAATCAGATTCCTTTGGGGGTTTAAGTGCCTCAGACTCGCCACAAGTTTTCTGCTCTATAATGGGGGGAAAAGATGAATTTCCTGCATATTTCTATTCAGCCTGGGGGAGAGCAATGCTGTCTCAAGCTGGGTGCATGAAAGGCTGGCAGGAAGGGAAGGACAAAGTTTATGACTTGCTTGTATCGCTACTTTGACCAGGGGCTGTTTTGGTCAAACCCGAGTCATATGCAGCACTTCATGCTTCTTACTGAAACATCATGTGGTGGGAAACGCACACAAGACAACTCCCTAGCTCATTATACAACTGAAGCCTCTAATCTATTTTTAACACCAACCCTTGATGCTAAAGACAATGCTTCTCTTGACCCCAGTGAGAGAGAAGTCAGAGCTTCTGATCCAGCGTTAATATACTTCTTGACAGCAGATTTTGGGGAGGAGGAAGGGAAAAGGCAAGGAGAGAAAAGGTGCCCACTAAAAACGTACTCTTTGGAAGCAGAATTAGAAAGAGGACAGGCTAAACCTAAACAGCAGTGATGATACTCCAGGAATGCAACCGGGAGCAACCTTATTACCGGTAATAGGCTCCTTGAACATGAACAAGTTTCCAAAAACAGGTTTCTGGAAACAATAGGCATCTAACAAGTGACTGAATGAGATCTTTAAGAATTAATGTGATATTTTACGGTCTTCTAGCTAACCAAGCTTCCCTGCTTTCAGGAACGTTTTAAACACTAATGTTAAACCAGAGGCTATTAAGATCCTCGTACCTGCTTT